GAGAGAGAGAGAGAGAGAGAGAGAGAGAGAGAGAGAGAGAGAGAGAGGGATGTGTGCATTAGAGGACGAGCTAAGCCCAAATCATCTGCTGTGGTTGTGCACACGACATCTGGCCTAAAGATGCTTGATCCCAACATACTGTAAATGCAGATACAGAGCAGGACTGACTGTACACTGCTACCTTATGTGTTTTGTTTTTGCTTCTTACCAGTTCATCCAGGGCGAAGCTGAGGCTGCCGTCTTCATACAGGATGAAGAAGCGCCGCTGCCATTTCTGACGTTGAGACACGACAAACAAAATCACCATTTTTACTTGAGGAAAAAAGTCACGAAAAAGAAATGTGTTTCAGCTCATTGTGTCCTACCCTCGACTTCTGCATCGGGTTGTCAAAGTCTGTCCCCTCAGGAGCCAAACACAGCCAGCCTCCATACAGCGGTTTGGCCTAGAAAGTAGAGGAAAGGGAAGTAATTAGCAAGTATTGTGTACACAGTATGTACTTCAAAACATGTTAACAACAGTCCAAAGATGCTCCACCACAGCTTTGACTTGAGTCACGTCATGTGTAGAGTTTGCAGTTTGAGCAACAGGCGCTGAAATTACAGGGAACTGTGAAAGCAGCGAGGTGGACCGAGAGTAATAACATATTTTAACAATGTGAGGCATGAAGTCTTCTTACATCACCTCCACATGACAGACCTGCAGGAGGAATGTCTTCAAAGGCAGTGAACAGAGTGCAAAGTAAATAAATATATCTTCTGCTGAGATGTTTCAGCAATAACTGAGAGATAGTTTGATATTTAATTAACTGTTTGTCATATAAGTAGTAAAAAGCAAACATTTTATGATTCCACGGTCAAAAATGCTTCTTTTTTTTGCTGGTTTTCTCTGATTCATTCAATAATAATTTACCAATTTATAAATTTACAGCAAACATAACAAAAGCTTTAACTTTTGTGACACATTTCAGTTTAGATCTTTTGCAACGATGCAGAAGAAAATAACATTTTAGAGTGATGGGGAAAAAAAATCCCTGAAACAGATTTTGGTGACTAAAGTACACTAAATGACTAAAGTACTCTTTAAATGTATTAATTTTCTGAATAAAAGTGAAGTTTAACTTTAACTGAAAACTAGCTAAAATACCGTCATTTGATGACGCAAATAACAGAAAGGAGTGAACAATTATGTCAAACATTAGTACCTCAAAGTAGTTTTCTGGACTTAAAAATTAGTTAATAGTTTAATTTTCAATTAATGTTAATATTTTTAGTGTAAAATCACTTTATTCTATAAGTTTAACTATCAAACTGCCACAGTAACTATATAAAAAGTAGTGTAAAGTTGATTAAAGATAACTAATGCTGATCACAAGAAGGAGCAGACTAATGACGTCACGTACGTCGAACATGAGTTACCATAAAACATGTCTTCTGGACGTAAACACAAGTCTCACAACTTCTATTCTTCAATGCATAATTATCAGGTAACGTTCCGTTACTCTTTAACGAATGCACTAACCGTCACGTTAATAATAAAAAATAAAAAATAAAGAGTAGTTTTAACGTTACCTGCTCCATGCCATGGTCGGTCAACAGATGCAGCTCGCGGGACTTGAAGCAGTTTTGACATTTACTTTTATTAAATATGTTCGCCTGGAATTTGTTGCACGGACTCGTCGCCTTTTCTCCCGACATGTTTTGCACACGGCGCCGCTCTCCCTCCTCCGGTACTTTGGATGGAGCGGTTGATCCTCAACGAACATCTGTCAAATACTCACAGAGGGAGCTGTTGACTCTCTGTCGTCATGGACACGTCACGTGACAAGGTAACCCCCAAGCAACATCCGGTCATAACCTACAAAATAAAACCAGGAACTGATTTATATAGTTCTTTCTTTAAAAAAAGAATAAAGTATGGACAGCAAGTAACCATTTATATCAACAATATGTTAAAAGAAAGTAAGGTAAGATCCAGCTTGATCCAGAGGGGAAGTGCAGAACAGAAATAGTAGAACAATAATAAACATATTTTAAATAAAAAATAGGAATAGAAATAAAAATTGCCCAAAGAAACTCAAAATTACAAGGCAATTATATTGTTCTACATACACAAGAAAGAACAGTACTTATATTGCAATTCTGTCTTTAGTGAAATATTATATATCTGTCTGTATGTATAATATTTTAGTAATTGTGGATTTTTTACTTTTTTACTTATTTAATATTATTTACTGTTTTATTACTTATTTATAATACTTGCTTTGATCTTGTTTTTTACTATGTCTCTTGTTTGCACTATCCATATATATATATACTCCACTATGCTGCTGTAATCCTGTAAATTTCCCCATGTGGGACAAATAAAGGATTATCTTATCTTATTGTATGTAAAAGTAATACATACACCAGAATCATATATATAAGTAAAGTGTTTGCCTGTATTAATATATGAATATGATGTGGTACATAATATAATAAATATTTGCGTAATGTAGCACGATATAGTACAAAAATGTAGCATGAGGTGAAAAGTATACAATTATATACAAAATAGTACAGCAATAAATAGAATAATAAAAAATAAAAACTGTGTAAAGCTCTCATGTTACATTCAGCTGTAAATTAAATGTATTGTTTGACAAAGATAATCAGCTCAAAGATTGATTTGAATAATAACAATAACATGACAATACAATCACCATCAAGTCCATCAAAATGAATACTGAGGTCATGTCTTATTTAGTTTTATTTAAGGAAGTTTTGCTTTATAAAACCATTTTGGAGACGTTTGAAACAGTCATCTCTAGATTGGTTTGTATTTACTATTTAATTTACTATTTATTTTGAAAGTACTAACCGGAAGTGAAGGGATTATATTACGTCTAACTTGACATTTGATCTCCACGCCAGAAAATTGTAATTTAACCCATTTGTGCCCAAAGACTACATTCAGTATAAGGAAACATGCCACAACATTGGTTCTGATTGGTCTAAATTCTTAAAATTTGACATGTAT